TCAACTCCCAGAATTCCCCAGCCAGCGAGAGCTGGCTGGGGGATTCTGGGAGTTGAAGTCCACAGGACTTAAAGTCGCCAAGGTTGAGAAACACTATTCTAAAAGGTCTTAAGCTGGAGGATAAGAGGTAGGAGAAAGCCTGTCATAAAATGCATCAGGTGGCCGCCTAGGCAATCAGGGCATCCACCTCAGCATCCTTCTTTACCAGGGTCTCGCTTTTCTGGCTGTTCCAACTTAGATCTAAACCTCCTTTGGAAGGGTTTTGATGGCGACATGACATTAGCAAAATTATCACTGCTGTATAGTATGCAGCCGACGCTTTGCTGAACGCGGCTAAGTTCGCTTCTCAAGCGTTGGAGTCCAATGTGACTCCACCCCACCTTTTTCCCCAAGGTGAACTCTCACTTCCACACAGCCCAGGAAGTGAACCTCCCAAGCTTTTGCCATAGATCTACGCAGCCCAGGGAGCGTACCTGGCATAAGTTAGACGTTAGGCAAGCTGTTCGCATTTATGTTAGGAGGACTAAGGAATTTAGATGCTCCAAGTCATTTTTTGTGTCATTTCAGCCCGGGTCGCTGGGCTGCAAGGCCTCATATTCTGCCATTGGACGTTGGTTACAGGCCTGCATCAAGGGCAGGGCTGTGCCAGGTCGGGTGATGGCACACTCCACAAGGAGTGCTGCCACTATAGTAGCGTGGATGACCCAAGCGTTCATCATTGACATTTGTAGAGAGCTACGTTGGCGTCCCCTACTGCATTCATTAAAAATTACAGAATTGACACCTTTGCCTCAGCCAAAGCCTCCTTTGGAAGACGTGTTTTGCAGAAAGTTGTCTCGGCTCTGGACAATTTGGACAATAACTCTTCCCTCCCTGGGACACAATAGCTTGGGTATATCCCATGCTTGGACTCTCCAAGCAGTACACAGGATAATGACCATTGGCTTAACTGAACAGTCGTTCTCTGGGCGCTGCGGGAGAGTCCAAACCCGCCCAGGGTTTA